TGACCCTGAGGAAACCTACATAAACCACAATGACCTAACCCCTCTTGATAAAATCCTGTTAAAATTTGTGTTCAATGACATAATCCCTCGTTCTCAAAAGAGAGACAGTGCCAACAACCTTGATTCTATCCTAATCTATTGCCTAGCCAAAAATATCCAAATCAACTTTCCCTTCATCATGATCCAACACCTTTCCCACTGTGTTCCTAAGGGATGGAAGGTGGGATATGGTAACCTACTCACCTATGTATTTGAAAGCTTTGGTATCTCCTTGACTGCTGTAGAACCTCTGCCACTCAAAAACACTGAGTACATACAACCTATATTCCTTGAAAACCATAAGTTGAGGGTTGTAGATGGGTGTTTTGAAGCTGTGCAGGAGGAAAAGGAGAAAAGACCTAGGGAAGTGAGTGCACCATCTGAGGGGGGAAGATGAAAGGGTTGCTGCTGTTGTTGAGGGAGTTGTTCTGGAAATTCAGGAATAAGAGGAGGAAGAGGAAAAGCAGGTGGAAGAGGTCATTGAGACAGGGGGAAGGAAGAAAAGGAAGAGCTTGAGGTTGATGAAGAAAAAGGAGACCTCTGCCCCCATTTGCATTGATATCTCAGGGGTGCAAGGGGATTTGCAGAAAGTCACAAGCTCTCCTATTTTGGGTAAGTATGCATCTACAGGTACAGGTTTTGCAGCTTTCAGTTCCCCACCTAAGGTTCCCAGCGAAGATGTGAAGGAGATGCTCCAAAAATTGCTGAAGAAACAAGAACAGTCAAAGGTGAAGATGGTGGAACTGAAGAACAATGTGCTCACTCTAGATGCTGATGTGAAGGAACTGGTCACGAGCTCAGAACAGGGGAGACAGTCCACTGTGAAGGACATAGTGTCTCAAATTAGCAAGAAGCTGGAGGATCTTGCTGTTGACAATGACCAGAGCATTGCTTCTTAACCTACCTTTCTCTACAGCCTTTTCATGTTGATGAAACTTATATTTTATCTGCTTTTGGGAACAATTATTTTTTGTCTGTAATATTTTGGGCACTTCTTAAATTTCTTTTGGTAAACTAGCGAATTTAGTACATTTGGCCGATGTTTTAACTCGTTTTTGGATGATTATAATCTATGTTTGTTTTGCCTATATGCTTTGTGAATTTTTTCTCTCTATGCATGCTTCTTGTCTTAACACTAAACCACTAGATGGTGCTGTGTCATGGTATACTATATATGTGTGTGTTAGTTTTTAATAATGCCAAAAGGAGGAAAAGGCTGCAAACTATCAAGGAAACTTAATCATTCTATGGTCTCTGTTCAAAATCTTCACAAGCTGCCTAAGCCTAATTTCTACAAGCAGGTATAATGTGTATACAAGGTTTTTTTTCAAGTTTTTCAATTTTTCCTTAAGTTATTTATAAGTTATTTATTTATGCATTGTTTTTATTTCCTTAACGTAGTTTCCATTTTGCATTATATTTTGTTTTTCCTAAAAGAATTTTGGTCTATAAATAGTTGTTGATTTCATATGGAAAAACTCACCCTTGCTCACATAAGTTTTCAAGCTTTAAGTCGAGTTAAGAGTCAAATTCCACACAAGTTCATTAGAGTGTTCTTAATGTTCTTATACTAGAGTTTGTTTACTTTTCGAGTTGTAATTTGGGGAATGGGGAAGTTCAAGTGAACGTTTGTATATGAGAAAGAGAAGTGAGAAAGAGAAGAGAAAGAGAAGAGAGAACAGAGAAGTGAGAAGAGAGAAATAGAAAAGAAGAGTAACAAGCTGAGTGACTTGTTCCTCAAGGTCTTAAGTTTGTAGAGGAACTTGAGTTTGAGTCGTTAGCTTGTAATAGGATCATTTTGCCCTATTATAGTGAAGATTCTTTTCCCAAAATCCCAAGTGATCGTGGTATTTCTCCTTGTTAGGGCCAAGGAGTTTTCCACGTAAAATCTCTCTTGCATTCTTTAGTTCCTTTAGTTAATCTTTCAATTCCTTTAGCTAACTTAATTTTAATTCCGCAAAAAGTTTAGCTAATCTTTCATACTATAATTCAACCCCCCCTTCTTTTAGTATTCTTTAAAACAACAAAAACCACCCACTCAAACAATGTTAGCACCTTTAATTTGAGTGAAGTCCTTGCTATGAACAACCAAGGACAAAAGAAACCATTTTGGAGGAACTTTACTCTTATAGGTATGAGTTATGATGCCGCATTTGACCGACTAAATGCAAAAGGTCTTATAACTCCTATTGAACCATTAGGGGACCCATCACTTGAGAAGAGGACAGCTATCTGGAACCCTAATACATATTGCAAATATCACCAAGGTAGGGGCCATCGTACTTAAAATTGTTGGAAGCTTAAAAACGTTATCCAAGATTTAATTAATAACAATAAACTGCCATTTCCTCCTGCTAGTAAGAAGCTAAGCATTGACAATGCACCTCTCGCTCATTCCTTGGCCATTTTTTATGAGGAAAACGAGGTTGATCCCTCATCTCTCATCAAACCTATTAAATAAATTCATGCTATAGAAGAAAAGGAGTAGATCTTTTTCGATGCCATGGATGACTTTCCTGAACCAGTAAGCAAAGAAGATGTACGGATGCTTATATAGTCCATGTGGGAAGGATCAAGTATGCTACGTGAAGCTCTCTAAGTTGCAAAGAAACAAGTAGAGGAGCTTCAGAAAAGTGTGATAAGGTCAGGTTCCACCCACTAAGAAGAAACCCTTCTCTCTACAAGTAACTGACGGACCCAAGGAGAGTAATAAACTCTATACTCCAATTGGGACTTCATACGCTAAAATGTTCAAAATGCTCTCCGAGAGTGGTAAGGTCAAACCTCTTGAACCGAGACCATTTGAATCGCTAAAGAGGACTGATAGATTCTATTGTCAATACCATCAATCAGGGGGACACACTATTGAAAACTGTTTTAAATTTAAGATTTAAGTCAGAAAATGTTTGATGATAAAAAGCTAGTATAAATTCCACAAGAAGAAGATATAAGCATCAATGGAGTTTAGGACAGTGATGAAGAAGATGTCTACCTAAAAGACATTGAAGGACCTCCACCTTCAATGTCATATTCAATAGATGATTTCTGGGTTGAAGAGGATTCCTCTATAGACGTCCTCACAAGATCTGGGAGAACGCAACCTCCCATCTCAACATAACCTATGCCGACTACGCAGCAAGTTCCTATATCTATCATAGAAGATAATGATATTGTCAAGCAGTTCAAGAAGACCAAGGTAGAGATGAATGTATTGAAACTTCTAGCAACATCTCGAGAACATAGGTTGGCAGTAATGAATGCATTGGATAAGATAGGGATAGATTCTGACACCAATCCTGAGGGGTTGGCTAACTTCCTTATGGGTGATCTCCCTACTCCTATCAACTTGATCACATTTTCTGACAAAGATTTACCTCCAGAAGGTGACAAGCCATAGTAGTTTGCAAGGGAATGAACGTCCTAATGACTCTTGTAGACAATGGATCGACAATTAATGTCTGTCCACTCAGAACTGCGAGGATGTTAGGCATAAGGGATGAAGACTTAACCCCGTCAACACAAGGAATAAGAGCTTATGACAACACTTGTCGCCAAGCTCTTGGTAAGATTACCATGAATATAACGGCGGGAGCAATAGAATATGCTACTACATTTCAAGTGGTAGATATCAAAGCTTCAATCAACTTATTGTTGGGACGCCCTTGGCTTCATAACCTAAAGGCCGTCCCTTCATCTCTCCACCAACAAGTAAAAGCCATAGTTGGAGGAATTCCTATCACGATCGATGCTTCACCTATGAGGATTAAATCTATAGAAAATCCAATAATTAATGTGGAGCACGATGAAGACGATGAAGATTTGTGGGGCTTTAATGAAGAGGTCTCCTTAATCGAGGAGGATGAAAAGACCCCTCTCTTCCATGAGCCCCACTCCAATATGACAATAAATGCTATTCTAAAGAAACAAGGGCATTTTCCTAGAATTACTCTAGGAAAGAAGAAAGGAATAGCAAAACCGCTGGAACTACCTGACCTCCTTAAGTTAGATACTTTCGGACTTGGTTTCGAACTGACTCGGGAAGATCTCAAGCGAGCCCAGGAAAGGCCTAAGGCGCGTAGGAACGCTCGCATCCAAAAGAAAGCAATTCCAATGGATCAGTATCCTCTTACTAAAAGAATGAGAGGACTATCCGTGCTATGAATTTTCTAAACCTTTTGTTGTAAATGACATAAGGCAACCGGGATCCGAAATTTTCCTAGATTGCTATTTTCTAGATGAAATCCCAACCCCTATCCACAAGGAGAAAGCATCCCCATGCTTTGACTTTAATGTCATGGGATTACTATTTGGGCGGGAAAAAGATGAGCTGAAGTACATAGAGGATAACTCCTCGCTCATCCAAACGGTCCTACAAAATGAGAATTTTGACTCCTCAAAGCTCATCAATACAGCAGAAGGATCAATATCAGGGTTGCGTAAGATAGTCAAGGTGACTACTCCAAGTGGAAGGAAAATCTCCATAACGACAGGGCAAGGACCGATGTTTGAAAATTCGTGTGAGTTAGAGTAAGAGTCAGAGTCTTTTCCTGTAGAGTCATCCAAGTCCTTAGTTGTAGCATCCCCTTCTTCTATCTCTTCCCCTAGGATAGTTAGCCATCAAGTCCCTGAGGACATCTCTCTTTTTGATGTAATGATTTCTGAATTCAATAATATGTCTTCTTCCGCTTACTCCACTAGTGGAAACAATCTCATTTGTAACAGGCAAAGCTTTGTCCGTTACAATTAAGATATTCGTAACGGGCAAAATAGTGTCCGTTATGAATACTTATTTATTCGTAACGGGCACTAATTTGTCCGTTACGAATACATATATATGTATTCGTAACGGACAAATTAGTGCCCGTTACGAATAAATAAGTATTCGTAACGGACACTATTTTGCCCGTTACGAATACTATATTACATATAACAGGCCCAACTGATGAGAGGATCCTGTACTTGGATTTTTAGGGTTTCACCTAATAGCCGTCACACCTCTTTCTCTCTCATCAGTCCCTCTCTCTCTCCTCCCCTCTCCTCCCCGTCATTCACCAGACTCTTTCTCCTCTCCTCCATTAATCTGATTTTTCAAAACACTTGTGCTCTTTCTCTCCTCGTCCGTCCTCCTACCCCTTGTTTCTCCTCTCTTTTTAAGCTCTTACAGAGAAATTATGGTTGATGGGAATGTGAAAAAGTGTTCGAAGATTTTATTACGGGCGGTGCACAGTGCGAATAAAAAGAAATCAGTGTTAATTTGTTGTTCCTCTTATAGTGAATTCTAGATATTGGATCTAGATAGCGGCGAATTGTCAAAAACTACTGAAGAAAAATTCTTATAATTTGGGATATCTTTGCCTAAAACTTCAACCATTTTATATCTTGAGGTAAGAAGTCCTTCAATTGTTTTTTCCTCTTCTTGAATTGATTTCTGGGCATCTAATTGTTTAAATTCTTGAATTTGTTCTTGTGAATTCTAATTTGCTTTATTTTTTTCAACATGCCATTTGTATTTGATTCATTTTCGGCATTTGTATGGTTCGATTATACTTTGTATGTTTACACGAATAATAAATCTAAAAAAATATGTTCTTCAATAGAAACGAGTAATACATGCAATCAGGAATGAATTTTGTTCATCTTTGTCGATTAATACCTGATTGCCGAATTTTTTTTGTTTATAGAGAGAACTAAAAAACCCGATATGGCATGTTGATTAATTCTAGGGTTCTTCGAGTTCTGTTAAGCGTATGACTTGCATTTTTCAATCCTTGCACTGATCTGAATCACTAGTTTCTGTTTTTTTTTTTAATTTTTTTTTTATTTTTTTTTTTTAAAAAAAAGACTTTAGAGGCTGCTTTCGATTTGGATTTGGGTATGTGTCAAATTTGTACTATTATTTTCATCTCTAGGTATTGATGAATAAAAGGCTGATTTTATGTGAATTATGTCTATTCCTTGTAGCAGTTAATGATCGCTGGTCAATTTCATCACTAGTAGATTGATTTTTTGTAGTTGATAGAAGCTAAGGAAATGTTACTATATATGTTAGTCCCTGAACAGATGGTAGCAGATAATTTGTTAAGCTATTGCAATGTTAGTCATTCTATATATGATCCTATCTATGTATTTCTATATTTTATCAAGAACAGATAATATGTTAAGCTATTGCAATGTTTGTCATTCTATCTATGATCCTATTGCAATGTAAGTCATTCTATCTATGATACGGTCAGGCTATTACAGATAATAGTTGATGGGAATTGCGACATGGCAGTGAGACAGGTTGCTAGTATTCATTTCAAGAACTTTATTGCCAAGAACTGGTCGCCTCATGATCCTGGTTCGTTTCCTTTCGTGTAGTGGTTAAGACTTTGACTTTAATTGTCGTAGCTCGGTCATTCGATATTGATTCGATATTGATATTGTATGATTGGTTATATTTTTATTTTTAATTTCAAAGGAGCAATCAAAGATCTCACCGGCTGATAAAGCCTTGGTAAGAGAAAATATCCTTGTGTTTGTGGTTCAAGTTCCACCGCTTTTGAGGTATGGCTATTTGCTGTGCTATTGTTATCTATGTGAGCTATCATATCCAAATTTCAATTTTGAAGGGCGTTTGGTGTTTATTGTGGTTGCCATTTGTAGGGTGCAGTTGGGCGAGTGCCTCTAAACAATTATCCATGTTGATTACCCTGAGCAGTGGCCTGGCCTTCTTCACTGGGTGAAGCATAATTTGCAAGATCAACAGGTCTATGGTGCTCTGTTTGTTTTGCGGATTCTCGCTAGAAAATATGAGTAAGTACATGATTGCTGATTATGTATGGTATATTGCGGTATCATCACAAAAAAATAAAGCAAATCATATGTTGTTTTATTCTTTTGGGTTTTCTCTGATTCTAGTTGCTCCTCATCAAGTAGGTGGAGTTGCTTACCTAATTCTCTATTGGCTAGTACAGTCAAAAGTCAAATTAGATAATATGCTAGCTTGACAGTGTATTCATGTTCAACAAGCACTATATTTGATTTTACAAAAAGTTTACATGTTTCTTGATTAATGCTTAATACAAAAAAAAGGTTCTCTAGTGTTTTTGCATAGGCAGACTGATAAATTTTAGCAGTCATTTGCCACATTTTTTTTCCTTATTGTGCTTGCTTTATGAGCTCCAACTGGTATGTAATTTTTACCATGATTCTTCTTCTTCCAATTCCGAATGACGATAAATCTGCTCCTTCTTTGAAGTCTAAGAATTATCGTCTTTTTGGTAGAGATAAGCCTGTTCATAAGGTCCTTGGTGGTGGTTAACGTATGTTTCTTCTGCTTTCGATTTTAATATTTTTTTTTACTGAAATGTTGTTCGTATCTTCTGAATTTGCTTGCTTTCCGTACAAATTATGCGAAATTGATGACTGTTTTTAGCTTGGTTATTGTTGATTAATGGAGAATAGGAGTAATTTTGATTGTAATTATTCAATGGTTTGTTTGTATGATTAATTGTTTAGACTGAAGTTTGGGATTTAATCATATTTGGACATAGATCTAATAATTTATGATATGATTACTTAACATTTTTCTGCAAATCTGCAAATCTTTGTTATTTTAGCTTTTTATAATTTACTTGGGACACCTTCAAGTGGTAATACCTGATAACTTCAATTTACTTTGTCTTCTGACCTCCGTTTTTTTAGTTCTTTGTGTTTTGTTCGTCTTGTTTGTGGTGCTGGTTCTTTTTTAATTTTTTGTATCATTTGTTTGATGTATCTTGGGACTAGTCAATATCGGTCTTCGTGTGTTTTGGATTCTCATTTTTTTTATTTAAGGACAATCCAACAAAATTATATGTTTTTGTTGTTTATTTGCTTGTTCTTTGAATGTATTTTTGGAATATCCTTTTTTTTTAATAATCTGTTATTGATTTTAATCTATCTAATCTCATTGTTTTTCTGCTTGAAACCATTCATAGTTAATATGTTATCTCTATTTATTTTTTCAAGTCTTTCAAGATGCAGTTATGCATTTATTTTTTCTCATTGCTTGCTATGCTTTCTTGTTTTGTAATGTTGCAGATTTGTTGCAGTAGCTATCTCTGGAATCTCATACCAAATCTCTTTGGTTCTCGCAATGTTATCCGAGTAGAGTGTTCGTTCTATCAATTTCAAGTGGTAGTTGTTCATGGCTTAGCAGATGGAGTCCATGTCCGAGGGCTCATTCGTTACTTTTGTATGCACATCACCAAAGCTTCACCACACTATACAAATTCTGAGGCCAATCGCTTACCTAATCAGCTGCTTCAAGGAATCTGAGAGTAGCTTCTGGAATGTAGTGTGTTCATTTGTGAGCAGCTGCTTTGTTTTGAGATTTGCTTTTGCTTTTTTTTAGTTTTAGTTATATTAGGAAATAATTAAATTGCTGATTGTATATTACTCTGTAATTATTAAGTGTATACTATACTTGTATAAAATAAATAAATATATATATTGATTGATAAAATAATTGTGTAAGCTAGATAGCTGTCCAGCATGTGCTGGATTTTTTTTTAATTGAATCTCACAGTATTCGTAACGGGCAGAATATGCCTGTTACGAATAACGGGGTTTTTCGTAACGGGCAGAACCTGACCGTTACAAATAATCCCGTTATTCGTAACGGGCAACTGAAATGCCCGTTACGAATAAGTACTTATTCGTAACGGAGATGCCCGTTACGAATAACAATGGCCATCCGTAACGACCACATATGTAACGGACGCTGCCCGTTACGGATGGGCTCTTTTTGCCCGTTACGGATGACCTTTTTTGCACTAGTGCTCCTCGTGTTTCTCATTAACCTAAGTTGACAAGCATTGCTTAACTAACAATGAAAATGACAAAGAAATTATTAAAGCAATGGAAACACTTGAAAAGAAAACACCGATAATCGAGGAAACTGAGACGGTTGATATCTTAAATGATTCAACCATTAAAAGAGAAGTTAAAATCGGATTGACACTTAATGAACAAGAAAGAACCGATTAAATCAATCTCCTTAAAGAATTTATCGATGTATTTTCTTGGTCAGATGTAGATATGCCAGGTATTAATAGAGAAATAGCTCAACACACTATACCGCTAATTCTAGGAATGAAACCTGTAAAACAAAAGTTGCGTCGAATGAAACCCGACATATCTCTTAAAATAATAGAAGAAGTTCAAAAACAAATAACTGCAGGTTTTATCAGGGTATCCAAATACCCCGAATGGGTAGCCAACGTTGTCCCAGTTCTGAAAAAGGATGGAAGGGTAAGAATGTGTGTCGATAATTGAGATCTAAATAAGGCAAGTCCAAAGGACGACTTCCCTTTACCACACATCGATATTTTGGTAGATAATATAGTGATTCATGCACTTCTCTCGTTCTTGGACGGATACGCGGGATACAATCAAATTCTCATAGAAGAAGAAGACCTAGAGAAAATAACCTTCATAACACCATGGGGGTACTTACTGCTACATGGTAATGCCATTCGGGTTGAAAAACGCGGGTGCTACTTACAAACGAGTAGCGACTGCCTTACTCTATGACATGATGCACAAAGAAGTTGAAGTATATGTGGACGATATGATTGTGAAGTCAAAAGATCTCCCAGACCATCAAGTAGCCTTGAGAAAATTCTTTAAAAGACTAAGGAAATGCAACATGAGGTTGAATCCATCCAAGTGTGATTTTGGAGTCACCTCAGGCAAGCTTTTGGACTATGTCATAAGCTCTACAGGAATAGAAATACACCCAACAAAGATCAAGGCAATCATGTCAATGCCACCGCTCAAAACCGAGAAACAAATTCGAGGATTTATTGGCCGGTTGCTATACATAAGCAGGTTCATATCCAAATTAACAACAATATGTGAGCCAATATTCAAAAAACTTAAAAAGAATGTACCTGTAATGTGGGACGATGAGTGTCAAAAAGCCTTTGAAAAGATTAAAGCCTATCTCATAAATCCTCCCGTATTAGCACCAGCACTTCCAGGAATACCTCTTAGGTTATACCTAACGGTCACCAAGGAAACAATGGGAGCCATGCTTGTACAAGAAGTAGAAGGTAAAGAAAATGAAATCTACTATATAAGTAAAAATATGCTCGAGTATAAAGTACGCTATACACCACTTGAGAAACTATGCCTCGCATTGGTGTGGGCCACAACTAAGTTAAGACATTACATGCTCGTGCATACAGTCTTTGTAGTTTCCCGAATGGATCCACTTAAATATTTATTAGAGAAATCTACACTCAATGGGCGCATATCAAGATGGATAGTTAACTTATCCCAGTTCGATGTAAGATTCATGCCTCAAAAGGCTATTAAAGGATCTGTGGTCTTAGATTTTCTAGCGGATTTTCCAATAGAAGATTCAACGCCAATACACGACAGTGAATTTCTAGATGAAGACTTGATGGTCACAGAAGATGATACTTGGACCTTATACTTCAATGGAGCCTCAAACCAAAAGGGATGTGGCGTTGGAGTATTATTAGTATCACCTAAGGAAGAGCATGTTCTAATCTCCATAAAGCTAGATTTCGACGTTGCTAACAACGCTGCTGAATAAGAAGCATACATGGTAGGCCTTGAAACAACTTTGGCATTGGGAGTGAAAAAATTACGAATATTCGGGAACTCTTCATTGATCATCAACCAGATTTCAAAAAGTTGGAAAATAAGGAGCGAAAGTCTAGCTCCTTACCAAACTTATCTGGAAATTCTCACCAATCAGTTAAAATAGGTAGAATACACATATCTACCTAGAGAGGAAAATCAATTTGCTGATGCCTTGGCAAGACTAGCCTCAATGGTTTGGATTCCTACAAAAATCGAGCAAATGCCTCTAACTATAGAAAAAAGGCATAAACTGGCTTATTTTCAAGCTATAGGCGATGATGAAGTGATCCAAGATGAAGAAGAAGAAGAAGAAGAAGAAGAAGAAGAAGAAGAAGAACTGTGGTACATGGATATACTTAACTATGTCACCAAAAAAGAATACCCTCCTAATGCTGACAAAAGAGCTAAACGAGCATTAAGACTCTTGGCTTCCCAATATGTACTCATAGACAACGAGTTACATAAAAGGGTACCTATGGGTCGAGCTTTCTTATGTGTAGGGAAAAAGGATACTCAAAGAGCTATGAGGATAGTCCACGAAGGCATTTACGCCAATTTACAAGATAATGCCCTATTGGACTACCATGAATAGGGATTGTCATTAATATGTATACAAGATAATGCCGGCGCCAGTCATGGAGAAGCGGAGCCATTTATTCTGGGAGCACCTGAGAATATTTAGGTGTTTTTCGAAAAATTTTCGACTTCCGTACTCCAAAAAATTTCTTTTCTCTAAAGTGTCCCAGCTTTTCTTTTCCCATTATCCTTTGTAGAGCTCTTCTTCTTAGGCATCGTAGGTGTTTTTAATTCAACCTTTTCACCCAAGCGTTCCTTAACAAGATTTACCTTGTAACCTAGACGACTCTTCACATCAATCTTACTCTGATTTTTCTTCACGTCCTTTGAAGGTTTCTTGAGAAGCCACCTCTTCACATCATTGGGCAAGGAAGGAGGAACCTTTTGGGTAATTACTTCCCATAAAGGCCAAGAGCTCCAATATGCATAAAATTTTTCTACTTCTTGAGAAACAGGGAATTCATAGGGGTGAAGAAGATCCCCAGAAGGAATTGCTTAAAGTAGGCCGTACTGTCTTTTTACCCTGTAGGGATAATAAAAAGTCATCTTAGTTAAGCTTGGAAGACGACAGAAATGTTGCTTGTTGACACCAACCATCTTCTTCTTTTTTTTCACCAAGGGATGACCCACTTGATGGCAAAGTTGCAAGAGGCAAAGACTTTCTTCCATTAATGGCGCCCCATCTTAGAGAAGCGTTTCTTTCCTCTCACAAAGCAATTTGGAGTGTATTTTTCAACATTGTCGGGAGGACTGATTAATTCTAGTCTCTCCATTAGCCACATCTACAAACAAAATTCAATGCAAATAAATTAATATTACTATACAAAAATATGTTTTTGATTTCTGTAATTAAAAATATTATTTTTCTACCGATAATAAAATTGGAGAGCCCTGAAAAGGTGTTTTTTGATTTCTCTTCAATTCATCAAAACTAGTCTCTCCAACAATTAATGGCATTGGATTCCTCCCAGATTCAATCTTCTCCAAAACAGTTGATATAATTGCTTGGCCCTCATTAGTTCTACCACTAGTGAGAAGATATTGGTTAAGCATGCAAAAGAGAAAAGCCCTTCTTCTATAAACAAGAAAAGACTCAGAATAAGGTCTATCAAAATAATGGCGTGCAAATTCTTTCAAATTAACTATGGTACCATCTACAATATTTGTTAGATCTTTGTCTTTTAAATTAAAGAAGCGCTCAAAATCTTTATAATAATATTAGGGAGTACTGCAAGATCTAATGCAGGGAAGCCTAAGATAGCACCGAATTCTTCCGGTAAAGGGCTAATTTCATCACACCCTAGTCTAAAACAATGAGTATCCACATCCCAATATTCTAAGGCGGTATGAATGAAGTCTATATCAAGATCTACCTCCTTGATACCATATATACCCCCCATATGAAAAAATTCTAATTATTTTCTCTCCTTGGCAATTAGAGAACGACACCATTCGTGAGTGAAGTTGGTAAAACTCAGAGTAATTAAAGACATGATTATTTTTATCAAAAGCTATGACTATGTTTAATCTGCTGAAACTATAAGAAATCGGCAGACCAGGGGGCTATTTATACACAACATCTGATTAGGGGATTTTTATCCACCAAGCGCCGTTTGACAAGTGGACCAACCAGGTTCCGCCACGCGTCCTCCACGGACCACTTAAGACACGCCACGTGTCCACCCATGCCAAATGGGACAACCGGCCATCAAGGCCCATTTCAGTCTAGAAGCCCGTTCGGCCCTAGGTTTACCTTAAACCTAGAGAGTTGCACGCTTCCCAAGGCTATAAATACTCGATTAATCCTCATTAATCAAGGGACCGAATAATTTACGGAACACACTAATAACCGGCTGATCTCGCTAGCAAAGCAGATTACCTACATTAAATACTCTCACCTAGAGAGACCTTATTACTTTAATTTCTGTATTAATTACTCCTTAATCAGGTACTAACTTGACCGTTGGAGGCGGAGCTCTCAGGAGTCTCCGTTATTTTGCAGGTACAGGCGTCCGGTTCCAGTCTCGGAATTGTAACTCTCCCGCAGGACATCAGAAAACCCCGAAACATTTGGCGCCGTCTGTGGGGAGAGTACTTCAGAGATGGCATCCAAGTCTGTACCGACCCCAGAAGAGAGGCGTCCCCTAGATGACCCTCAAGTTCAGTCGGACCATGATACCGAAAGTGAATTTGAAGTTGAAACTCATACAGCTCCAGACGGGACCCTAAGGGCCCGCCGTACCCGTCATACTGAAATAAGGGAACGGG